CCATTCTCTCACATTATAAATTTAGTGTTAATTTTATGCAATTAATTTCACTAAATTCACGTAACATAAAAAATATAATAATGTTAAGATAATTTATTTTTATACCGGCAATTATCATTATGTGGTTGAAATATTTGGTCTATTTACACGCCGCACGCATGCACGTACACACACACACACACACACACACAAACAAGCAAACACACACACACACATATTAATTTTTTTTAAATAAAGAATCGAATGACATATACTTTTTAACTTTAATGTCTTTATATTTGTGGGAACTAAATAAAAATTATAATTATTAAAATAAAAAATTTGTTGAAGTTAATTGGAAATGATGAGTAACGTCGTTTTTTTGATCTATTTGGATTCAGATACCATTTGATGTTTAAATGGCTTTTTGACCATTTATCATTATATAATGCCACTTCTATTATTTTAATATATATAATAATATATAATATAATATATAATTACCTAGAATATAATTTTATTAAATTTTAATTCAAATTTAGTGTTAATAATGTTATTTTTGTTAATAATTACTTGTAAATTGTTAGGCCAAAATGTAGGGCCAAAGTTTTTACTAATTCCAAACCAGCAATACCCACAAACGGCAAACATTATCACAGACAAACTTCATCAAGAAATTTTTTGAATTTTGAGATTTTAAATTTCACAATTCTATTTTTTACTATAACATAATAGCTGGCAAATTTACTACTCTGCAATTTTAATAGTATTTTATTGTCGTTAGTATTATTTTTACTAGTTGGCTTTAAATAATGCTCTAATTGTCCGACAGTTCACTGCAGTTTTTTTTTTACTTTAGCGCTATATAAATTATTATAAATTATTATTGTTATTATTATCTTTTGTCACTCAGCTTTAGAAAGCCGGAATAATTACTTTAAATAACGACACCTCTGGTTACTAGCTAGTTGTGTCGGGTAATCAAAGAACATTGTTCTTATTTTCTTGCATCACCATCTACTTAAAGTCAAGAAGAAACAATAAAATTAAATAAAAATTAGTAGGAACAAAATTATAAATTATAAAAATATTTAAACGATAACAATATAACATAATAATATTGTAGAAATCATAAAATTAAAGAATAAAAACCAGTACAAGGCTCCATATTGCCGCAAACTTCTTAATTGAGTTTGCACCAGGTGAACTCTCGCGTCAGGCCTTCATCATCTTCATCGCCATCATCATTATTTTCGTTATCATTATCCACATTAACTTCATCATCACACCTTTATTCACCTATCCATCCATTAGTTATTTACTGTGGTCTTCGTTGCAGTCAGGTAGGTAGGTTGTTTGTTTGTGTGCACTGCATGCACATGCACACGTGTGTGTACTAAATCTGTATCACGTGTATCAGTCTGTGTACATGTCTGTGTGCATGTATGTGTACGTGTCTGTGTCTATTTATCTAGGCTTGTATTTGTTTGAATGATTGTGCTCTATTAAATGATCACCTTCTCGGAAATGTACACACTACGAATGCGTGGGCGTCCAAATGTTACAAGTAGACGTATGAATGTGTTTATTTGTTTCATTCATTGCGTACATTATTTATTGAGTGTACGCGTTTTATACAATTTCGTTGCACGAGCTTTTAATTTTTGATATGATTTGCAATTATTGTAAATTATTGTAAAAATTGCCCACCAAACAGTTTATGTACGTTTGTAAGTAATTACATACACATTGTTTGTGTGAATTATTTTGGCCATGTTTGTGCACTTACTTTATGCTTACTTGTTATCGTTTTTGGGTGGTTTGTAAATGCAGGTGCACGTGTGAAAGTAGCACGTACGTGAGTGATCATCAAACATACATGAGTGTTAGGGCTGCACTCGAGTTTGTGTACAAACCAATTACTCGCTGTCACTTTTCGTTCATTTATCTATCATCAATGCTCTTCATGTGATGGCCTAGTGCTTAAGGTCGCCTGGGGCTGTTTCGCAGTAACCGGGTTCGAATATGACAAAAAGATCCCCACCTATCACATGCGATGCGTCGTTTAGTACGTACTCATATACGATGTTTGTGGCGTGTTGTTGAATCCTCTGAACTTTGGAAGAGTGTAATTGACCTTTAACCTTTGACCACGCTATTAATTTGTTATCACCATCTCTTCTGCTTTCCAAATGGAGGTTAACTAAAATAATAATTTCAATTCCATCTGTCCAATCTCAATTAATTTTTTTTTTGTTTTTTGCCATTTTGATGATATTTTGACTTCATTTTGTTATCATCACACTCATCATTTTAACGCAAAAGTAACTTATCAGATCATGTTCATCATCAGGCAAGTTTCTAACTTGTCATCGTATAACAATCCCTTACATCACCACTTTAGTCAACTTCGTAGATTTCTTAAGATTTATTTTCGCGCTCAGATTTATAAACAAATGAACTAAAAAAATGCAAAATAAAAATCAGTAGAAAAAATAACAAACTAAAAAATCGAATTTGCATGAATTTCAAAGGGGTACAGTGATACGATGAGAAATTTTGTGATGAATATTCATCATAAAATTTTGTATTCATTTTTCTTGAAATCCATAATTTACATTCTTAGTTCGACCAGTGCGTTTTTACAACAACGTATTGATGTTTTTGCTTTCATATACACATACATTCGTGCATATAAACATACGCATAGATATAAATATAGGCGTATTGATGTTGTATTGTTTTCTTCTTGTTTCTTCATTATCGCGACGTATTTTTTAGTATAGAACACGCGATTCGAAAAAAATTTTTTAAATTATTTTGTTAAGGGGTGACAAGATATACAACAGCAATGACGGTGTTTGTTTGTTATATTGATAACGTTTATTAAGGTGGTTGATGTTTTCAATGTTGCTTTTTTGTTTAGTCAACACTCGAACAATAGCTTATAAAAAAAACTTGAGACATAATACTTCTACCGAAATAAACTCGCTCACAAAACAAATAAACAAGCAAACACTCAAACAGAAAAACAGCAACACACACAGACAAATAAATAAACAAACGAACAAGCAGACTGAAAAACGACCCAACAAATAGACAAACAACGAATATCCTGGCGATGTATAAAGTATCTATTACTGTGTAAGTGTTTTTGTTCATGTGTGTTTGTGTGTGTGTGTGTGTGTGTGTGGGTGTGTGTGTGTGAAGGTGTGAAGGTGCAAAGGTGTGTGTGTGTATGTTCAGTAAATATATTTTTCCTATCAACATTAGAAAAGTTTGCGTTCTTATATTAATTAATTAATTTGTATGTGTGTGTGCGAGTGTGTGTGGTGCATGGTGTGTTTGTTAGAGTGATTTTATCGTACAATTACTCACAAATTTCACTTTTGATTGAAAAATTCAAGAATAAATGTGAAGATTTGCCAACATTTTTATATGAATAGATCATGAGTTATGATCTACGTATTCAATATTTATATTGGAAAATGGTTATTCTTCACTGGTTTCCGAAATTTCGGCTGGAAACATACCTAACTGGACGCTGTCAGTATGTGAGCATTGGAAATTCGGTTTCTTCTTCTGAAACAGTCCGCAGTGGTGTCCCCCAACGAAGCATCTTAGTTTTTTTATATGCAATTTTTGTTTAAATGAAAATATTTCTAATTAATAAATTGAACAAAAAATAATACGAGACAAAATTTTAGAAACGGTATTATTATTTTTATTGTTGATAATATTTCCAATTTGTATTTTATCGCTGGCCATAAAGTTCGCGCTATTGATCTGCAGCATCTGACTCAATTTTTTTCTCCCGCACGTCTGCATAAATATTTCACGCTATGTCTAGGTGGTTTTGAGTTATACGCCAGCATTTAGAATATGAATAATCAATGAACTAACATCGCAAACTCAAATCACATAAAAAAAAGATTGATATATCGGTATCCATTTCTTAGTATGAATGTGTGGAAATGGGGAGGTTCTGAGCAATACAAATATTTGTCGCATGGAATGTACTTAGGTAATGCAGAATGAAAAACGATTGGAATTTTTTTAAAGTCATTCACTTGGACGTGAAAAAGAAATATTCAAACAAATTTCACAGTTAGGACTGTAAAATGTTTTTTTTATCTTTTTTTTATTCTAAAGCCTTGAACGAAATTATTTCTATATACAGCAAGTGTAAAGAGATGAAACGAAAAAGACCAATAAACTAGAAGAAAATTAATTTATTGCAACTGCATGGCGCCCCATTCGCACAGTAAATGTCTGTGTGTGTGCGTGTTTGTGTGTGTCCTCTAAATCCATGCCCTTTAATAATTTCTGTTCAGCTGACGTACGCTCAAAGCGAGTACGTTCATAAAATGAAAAGATTCAGGCATCGAATACTCACTAAAACTTTCTAAACGGCAAAAAGGAGTGTATAGTATAGCACAAAAATTAACAAAAAAAATGAAAAAGCAGGTATTTATGTTCAACTTTAAATGGTGTATGTCGATGCGTGTATGTGCGTGCACAAAGGTGTAGGTGCAACAAAAAAAGGTCTTCTACCCCGCGCTTCATTATCTCATTATTATGATGTTATACAAAATTACTTCAAAATCAATTTTTCGCTGACATCTTCTTGACAAACTACTTGGAATCTAAAAGTTCTCGAAATCGAAAATATATCCGAACTGGTAATCGAACACTGTTTTAAACGCATCCGCGGTCACCTAATACTTTGTTTACACTCGAGTAAAGCTTTCAATGACTACTACTCGCTTCAACCCTACTTCCAACATTTGCAATTGAAACAAACAACACCGTAACTATAATTATCATCACATAATCGCACGTCATCAATACACTTGAACGTGCATTGAATAACACAAGCATTCAAGACAGTCACACTCGTCCCATTTCTGGCAAAGTTACGTAAGTCAACATCCCGAGTTATGAAATTAATTCGTTGATTCACTGCAAATATGACACTAAATAGATTGTACTTTAATAGAAACATGAAGATCCGAATGTGTCCAGATTTTACTGTTTTCAATTTTATTTAAAAGCCAAGAGCTAAAGATATATATATCATCATCGTCATCATTAAAACTTTTTAAATAAAATAATTTCAACATAATAAAACTAATTTTTATTGAAAATTAATTTAACAAAAAGAATATAATTAACAAATACTATTAATAAATAACGTCATTCAGCAACCTTTATACCTTTATGACCATTTTTAATAAACAAATAAGAAATCGTAACCAAACAAAAATTAATGACAGATAAAATAGTTCCGCATATTTATATATATATATAATATATGTATAATATATATATAATATAAATATATATACATAATACATTGCCTAAGAAATGATTTTTAAATCAGTACCAAACTTAACTGAAAATATGTATGCATACACACACACCACACGCACACATACATACACGTCTTATGAGTTTAAAAAGTTGTTAATCTGATCAATGATAAATAACCGATAGCCTTATTTTAATTTTATCAGTTGAATTTCAATTTAATTATAATTAAATGGCTTTTAATTAAATAAAATTATAAAATAAACAGTAAAGCGACAATTCATTCATTGATTCTGAAACCTAACACCACCATCCCTGCCTCTTTGATTTTGGCGGCGACCTGTTTAAATTTGACGGTAAATGTTAAGCTTTCCTTTTTTTAATGTATTTAATACTAATAATCAGAACGTGATTGTGAAAATAATGAAAGTGAAAGATACAGTAGAATGAAAGTTTTTATTTCTTGGGTAAGATTAATGTGACAATATTTTTATAATAATTATATAGCAACTTTATAATTTGAATATAATTAACAAAAATTATTGAATCCAAATAAAAATTGAGGATTTTTTGATAACTATATGAAATCATCATACCAATGTAATTTTGTTGCTGGCCATCCCTCTGTTGATAGGAGCCAGCGTTCTGAGCTGCGTTTAACACAATTGTTTTATTTATTATTTTAAACAGTCTTATTTATAACCCTAATTTTCAAACAGTTGTACTTCAAATTTCGATACTCCAGTTTTTTAAATGAAATAGTTATTTGAATTTATATAAAAATAGCTGCAATATAAAGAAAACTTTGAAGTGCTGTGTTGATCATTCCTTTAATTTAATCATACACTTTACCACAACACAACTTTCAAATTGTAGACTAATACACTTCTTGACGAAGTTGAAGCCATGAATTAAAAAATTGAAAGAAAACTGAATGAGAAATAATGTCTGCAGAAAAACATATGCCCTATGCATGTTTCAATATGAATACATGATGCACGTCTTAGTGAACTTAACAAACCTCCATATTGAGGTCTTGGTTGGTAGTTGAAGTAGCTAGGTCCTGTGATCTTCAAGTCCAGTGACCTCTCATTGTGCTCGACAATCTGCGACAACTTGTCAGCTAGTTGAAGTGCGAGTGATTGAACGAGGGAAGGTTCTGTTTTGTGCATGACCACTGTTTGGCTTGGTTCATCTATTGCTGCCTTTTAACAGGTCGTGGAATAGTGAATAAAAATTAATATTTGTTGAAAATATCTATCTATCTTCGTTTAGCGATAGATAGAATAATTGTTGAAAATAGATGATCATAATATTAAAATAAATTTGTGTTGGGTTATTTGACTATGTATGCTTTCAATACAACATTTGACGAATCACATCAAGAAATAAGGAGAAGCAGCTTACAAGCAATTCATCGTTGATGACCATCTTGCTAACAATGGAGTGAATAGTGGATGATGGGAGGTTGAACATGTGTGAGAGGTTATCAAGACTCAATGACTCATAAATGTAACTGTATGAGAACAGATAGGTTCTCAGACTTTCTTCTTGAATCTTCAATCCAATCATCTTGCGAACATCATCAGAATTTGCAAATAGGTCCCATACCTTTGAAATAATTTCAAGTAGGATCAAAAAATTAGTTAAAATAGTTTCAAGAACAAAAAAATTTAAACTGGTCAGCGTGGCACATTCTCCAACACAGCAAACTCTAAGCTAAACTGAATATCCAATTGAACAACAAAAACGGTTACAATGATTTTGTAATTCAAACATTCAGCAACCATTTAAATGAAGTAAAAACGGAATGAAGTCATCTGGAACAAACAAACCTTAGCATTCATCTTTTCATTGACGATGTAGTTGTAGCAAGCCTTCCAATCCCCCGACTTCATTGCCTTGCACGCAGCCACAACATGTTCTCGCATGTTTTCTGGTGGACCCACGAGAGTCTGCTTCTCATTTTCACGAAGAACATGATGGAAGTTTTTACTGATCATCCTCTTACGAGCATCAAATTCATGAGCTGGAATAATATTCACATATTATTACTATATCAACAGGTTGAAAAAACATTTTGATAAAAGTTAAAATGACAATTGCAGTTTAAAATATTTAAAAGATGTGGACAGACCTGCCATGTTTGGGATCTCGATCAACATCGCTGAGACCAGATAGACACATTCGAGAAGTTCCAGATTGATGTGCATGTGGTATGGTATCTGCCTCCTTTTTTCCTTCTTCTCTTGCTCTGGTGTTCGTTCATGTTGTCTCTGTGGTAGTAGGCCCTAGATGAAAAAATATATACTTCCTCAAATTTTAATTACTAATTGCCAATAATTTAGCCAGCAAATCAGACTGACTATATTCTAAAAACAAGAGCAATGTTTTGTCTCCCACAAAATAAATTTTAGCAAAAAAGCGTCCTGAACAACTGACCTGTGCAAGTAATTCTCTTGCCCTCCTTGAGCTCTGTATGTCCACCAGGCAGTTGTGGGCATCTTTGATCATGCCTTGTCTAAAGGCACACAGACCCAACTGAACCATCGCTCGGTTGTACAAAATCTGTGCGGGTAAGAAGAAGCTGTGATAACTGATATTTTTATTATTGATTTAACAAACTTTACACAACAAAATACAGCTAGGCCTAAACAGTTTTGTTAACATGTAAACTCAAAACAAGATATGTAATTAATAAAGTTTACACACTACACCTAACATTTATAAACATCAACACACACAATGGTAAGCAAAAAGATGCATATTAAGCCTCATTATACAGACAGACAGACAGAAAGCAGCAAAGAGCAAAACCTGAGTGGGTATGTCTGAGTGTTGAATGTTGTCCTGTAGGTGAGACATGAGCATGAGGTCACGTGCCTCGAAGAACCGATCGTGCAGAGCATGGTGGTAGATGTGGGAGAGGATGGCCCTCGTTCGAATTCGATCTGTTGTGTCCTTCGCATATATGAACTTGCACAGTCGATCCATCACTGCTCGACTGCTGTTCGGGTCAGATAATGTCTGCCATAGTGAAATGATGGTTTCTAATTGTTTACATTATGTTTCTGGTGTGTCAAATGAAAGAGATGAAAGAGATTTAGCAAGAAGAAACTAATGTAACATAGAATATGATAAAAAAAATCATCAGCTAAAAAATTAAACTAAACAAAATTGTATGTATTCTGCCACCTATGTATATTCATTAGTTTAAATATGATTATAATATATTCACACATATCAAACTAACCTCTGGACCAGTTCCAAAAGATTTTGGGTCAAACTGAATAGAAAAAATAAATATTTTAAAAATAGTTTAATCTTTGAAAACGAAAATGGTGGGACTAAGTGATGGGACAAAAAACTGGTGAAAACCACACAGTAGAACATACTTGATATGAGAGATGTTACAAACATCACCTACCTTGTAATACAAATGCTGTATCCTTTTAAGAAAGACTCTGCAGAGTTCATCATCAGTTGAGTGACCCTTCAGATATCTTTCAAGGTCTTCTATGATCTTACAGACTGTTGTTTCATCTCGCAATCTATTTTAATGTAAAGAAATCCAATACGTTGATTCAGTGTTTAATGGTAGCATTGAAATATTGATTTGGAATATTACTAAATGTTATAACATTCAACTTCATATACATATCATTAGTATCTACATTTATTCATCAATAAGTGTTTCAACTCAGATCTATGCCAAAATTTAATAACGACCTAATCCATTGATCTATTTATACAAAACAGACATACGCAAAACAAAAGAACTGTACAATATTCACAAGCATGCACAAACACACACGCACACTTGATAATTTGTACATATAAAAGGAACCTTTCAATGTACTCCGTGCTATGTGCATCGCAAGCCTGCAACATCAACGTGAATTCCTCATCCATCCTCTCAACAGTCGTCAACATGCAGCCACGAAGTTTGTATGGGGGATTGGGCTGATGATTTATTACAAAATTTATAAAATAATGAAATAATTTATCAAATAATAAAAATGATAATATTGTTTTATCGAGTGCTACATTCTCATTAGTGTCATCTCATGGTGCACCATGCACATTTAAAAAAAACATAAAATTTTAATTTGTTATTTATTTGGCATTAATAATATTACTATCCAAAATTAGGTAAAGAATAAGAGATAATTTTGAGCAGCTGTAAGTGATTGAGATTAGAGTTATTAAAATAATCAACAACAGTAAACGAAGAAAAACCAACCCCAATAACATTCTCAGCATCATCACCAATGTACTCTCCAACAATAATTACTCCAATATTGTCATTCAATATCTTCAGTAACTCCTTGATGTAAAACAGACACCTGCACATGTATATCAACACTTGTAACGCATCCACCATTGTTAAAGTAATAAGGTCTTAGTAATAATTATTAGTAATAATTATGTATAATGGTTAAGTATTGACTAGCTTCAAATAAATGTATCAATTTCAGCAGACAAATCCTAAACATAAGTCAACAATTAAATTTCCAGCCAAACCACTGTAACATTTAGCAGATCCTAAATCATAAGTGTCAAACGCTGCAAGTTTTAACTACAAATTTTTAAAATAAGTTTTTTCGGCCCATTCCTTTTTGTTTGAAATTAATAAAACAATTCCAAAGTGTCAAAATTTTGTAGAAACAAGCAATAAAATCAACGATACTTGAATAAAGTAATAAATACTAATTTCTAATTATATGAAGATTACAATGATACAGAAATTACAATGAATTACAATGAAATTATAAAGATATAGATAGAGAGACTTACTTTTCCCACATATCAACCTTCATGCTGGCTGCTACACTGGGATTGTAATCAAAGATGGACGCAATGATGCAGAAGAGAATCTTGCAGTCGAGAGGCTCACCCAGGTTGTGGTCCTTGGCAATCTTCCTCAGGTCGATCAGCAAATCGATCTGCATGGAACGATCCGTGCCCTTCTTACCCCTCCCTGCTACCAACTCCGACAGTTTCTTGCGAACAACATCGTGCGTTATTTCAACATCTTTACCAAAAATTTCTGGCCTCTCTACAACCTTTAAAAAGGATTTTTATGGTTACATTTTTAAGGAATGATACTTAATAGAAATTTTAAATAATCAAAAAAAGACCAAATGATCATATAAAGAGAAGTTCATAAACTCACAGCAGCAGAAGGTTTGACCTTTTCCCATTCTCCCACTTCATCATCACTTTCTTCCTCAATTTTCACTTTGGCTTTTTTCTTCTTTTCGTCCTTTTCCTTCTTCTTCCTTTCAACTTCACCTTCAAGTGGCACCCTGCAAACAAGGGGCAAACAATTTCAATGATTCACACGTTGTGAAGAATGAAAATGTTTATGAGTCTGGAAAACAGTGATTTTTTTTTCAAAAAATTTGTAATAATTCATTTTTAACAGACATTTTAAAAGTAACTAGATAAAAAGGAATCTGTTCATCTGTTTGCGATATCATATATTAATGTTTTTGAGAGCCATATAAACCACAAAATTTACCAAATAATACAAAAAAAATGTAATTAACGAAATCTAACCTAACAGCCAGCCGCAACAACAACAAAATGACAAACTCTGAACAAAACAACAAACATACTTCTTCCTAAAATAGTCAGCAGTCAGTTGATTGAGTGGTCGAATGTCTTCATCAGAGCTAGAAGACTCTGAACTACTTTCTTGCTCCCACATGTCATCACTGTCTGACTCCTGTTGTTGTTGTTGTGTCATGTTACATCACATGCATGCATCTCAACCAACACAACAACATCAACAATAATTACTATTTTATAAATGCAAATAAGATGAAAAAGAAACATCATAGCAAACAACTCAGGAACCACCAGAAAAGGTGTACATGCATTTTCAAACAGCTTTCAAGACTTCTTTCCAACATACCTCATTTTTGGCTTTTTCATCAGCAACAGTTTGTTTACCCTTGCTTGGGGGTGCAATGATTTCATCGTCATCATCATTCTTCTCCTCATCTGATGAATCATCTGTGCATCGAATGAATTAAATATGTTTATTAAAATAATACTGTTAATTATTCTATAACAGAATAATCAATACTGCATAATAAATTTAGTAAATTGGTGTGAAATTAGTTATGAGATTTCTTTTAAATTCTACACTAAAAATGTCAAATAAATAATTAAGCAAACAACAGCGAAGAATTATAATAATTTTAAATTATGAAGTTTGAAGTTACTGGCATGAGCTTAAAAGAATCTCAGCAGGTGGTTATTTGTTGAAATATTTTAGTAGAAATAAATATAGTTTACATTTCGATAAAGGTCAGGTGTTTGTAAAAAAAAGATATTGTTACAAAAGTTACAAATATTATAACCTTTACTTTTTTCATCTTCTGAACCAACCACATCTGGATTCTGTCATCAATTTTAATGTTTATGAAAAAATTAATGATGCATCACAAGTTCATCTTGCATGTCAAATTGTTGATATAAGTTAAAAAATTAGGCTAGTCAAAATTATTACATCCTAGATCCATTTTAGAGAAGTTGGTGAACAAAAAAAAAGAATGAACATCAGAACATTATCCTCAGATGTCCTAAGTTGTGAACTGAATTAACAGAATTGTTCAGTAAGGTATTATATAAAACCCCACAATAAATAAAAAATATTTCAAACCTCCCTGTAGTTAGCTAATTTATCTTCAAAGTTTTTGTTGTACTTTTTCAACTTCTGTCTCAAGGCTGTCAGTCCTTTTGAATTCGCTTTGCTCAGTAGTTTTCTGCCTTCTGCATCATCCCAATGCTGAGTAAGTTAAGAAACTTATTCAAATTAAAAATGTTTTTAATAAGCATTACCATTAGAAATGATAAATTCATAAACTTGCTTACTTGATTTACAAAACCTTCCAACTCAACCAAACTCCTGATGAAAAATCTAGGAATGCCCTCTTTTTCTATTATCTTTTTTGCTTTTTCAAACGCCTTTCCTAAATCTTCAAAATCTTTTAAATGTAAGCGATAAAAACTCAATTAAAAAAAGCACATATGTATATATATATTCTACAAAATTACAATTTTTCAAATACATATAGCCAGTAAACTACAATTATTTAAATGAAATAGAGTAACTTGCCAGTTAAAACGTTTGACATATCTTTAATCTTTTTGTGGTTTTTTAAATTTGTAATGATCGTCTGCAACTCTTCAAACCTGAAACAAATTTAACGGGAAAACAGATGAATCAAACAAGCAGATATAAGAGTTTCAAACAGTATTAATTAATATTTAAATTTTATTTCATTTACTAGTGAACTAACTTTTTGTCTTTAGTGCTTTTAACAACCCTCCTTGTCTCTTCATCATCATCACTCAAAGCTATAAATGTTCTGCTGCAAATTTTTTTATAGCCAATTAATTATCTATTTTATTTGTTATATGCAATTTATAACATCCATATATATTTAATGTTTAACAATCTCAGATCTTAATGAAAATTATTTAATTTTTTAAATTTACTTCGCAGGCGGTTTGACTTGAATTTCATCTTCGGATTCAGAAGTCTCAGTTTCTGAGTCGGATTTACCAAAAAAGCGAGACATTTTCCTACAAAAAATTGTGTTTAAAAATTAAATATGAACACACGCAACCATAAAGAGCGACAACAAAGCATAATCATTCATCCATATTGAAAGCAAAGGCAGCATGTGCTGAAGGAAATGCCATATTTTTTCTCTCTATCGTGCAAAAACATTTTTAAAAATGAACGACTTCTCGGTCAAAAGTTTAAATTCAGATTTTTTGAAAGAAAAACTATCTACTTTTTATTATCGATAGTTGAATGGACTAATAAAAAAATAAATTTTATTACTCGATAACCAAAATAGGAAAAAACATCCACTAAACAAAAAAAATGTTTATTTTTAAGCGCCTAACTTTTCACACAATTAATGTCATAGTTGTGGTTATAATACATTTATAATGTTACATTTAAACATTCGAATTGTACATTTGTGTTATGGTGTAGTCTTAAATTATTTTGAAATTTCTCAAAAAAGTTTAAACTGCGTGCGTACGTACGTAAATTAATTACTGTTGTTTTATAATGGGTTTATATAATGTCAGAAAGTTTCTAATGATCGTTCGTTAACGTCACTTTAACTTGATTAGCATTGTTGTTATTGTTATTTTTGTTTTACTTTTTATGTTCTCATTTTTCTCATACATACTTAATAACATTTATACATAAGCACATACATAGTCACGTACATAATGTTTTTGATTTGACAAAAACGCTCCAGAGGAACCGACCTTGACATTTAAAAAATGTATCTGCTGTCTGATTATAATTATATTGTAAATAGATTGCCTCCTAGTGTTGCTACCTTCTAATTTTAAACATGAGATTAAGACGGCCTAGGTTGTCTTTTCGCCGGTGCGGTGCGGATGCGGTACGGATGCGAGCGGTTGTGTACGTGAACTCTGCGGATGCAGTTGGTTGCGGTTTAGAGAAATCTTTTCTACTTAGGGCTCTAATATATATATATATATATATATATATATATATATATATATATATATATATAATATATATAATAATTATACATTAAAAATATATTACAATATATATATATATATATATATATATATATATATATATATATATATACCCATGTACGCCTGTTAATTGTAATCATATATCAGATGTCAAAACCGACTAATCTCATCTGTAGATAGCGACCCCATCGGGAATCGAATGGCAATTTTCCGAAAGTCATCTAATATCAGATTTACAATTTCAGGCCATGTAATCACAGCCTCATCTTGTTCTCAGACGGTGTTGCACCCTTTTGTTCCATTTTCACCAACGTATCTCTTGCTAAACTTTGTCGCGAAAAACTGTATCACGATCAGGTGAATCTGAAAGAAGCTTACCTTTAAAAAATTAGATCAGGCACTTTGACGCAAGCAACTTATAAATGCCTCATTTAATTTCATCGTTTTCTCAGCTTCAAACAATGACCATACATCGTTATCATTTCAATCATTCACATCCGTGAAAAGTTTTTTTTCATGTTCATGTATATTAAACATTAAAACACTGATTTCGCAAACAACTCCAACAAACTAAATTGACTTCAACGTAAGCCTTCAAAACTTTTTGATTGGCTGGTTGGATTTGCCATAATGCTTTTTATTAATTTTTTTTATACATGGATTCTAGTTACATCATGTATATATTAATTATAAAAATTCAGAATAAGTATTATTATCGCGTTGTTACTAACATTTTCACTTACACCCTTCTTAAGGCCTATGAAGAAAAATAATTTTACACATGGATATATATATATCCATGATTTTACAGTTGGAATGAAGTCATCACACCATAGAAAATGTTATTAAAAATAAATAGTGGCCAATAAATATTAAAATTCTTTATCTATAATATATCTATCCTGAAATTGAGTATCCTGTAAGTGAACAGTATTTTTTCTCGAGTGAAAAAATCAACTAAAAGTACTTTTACAATCATTTTATTTAATTTTACAACAATTTTATTTTGAAAAATAACATATAGATTAAAGTTATTTGAAAACGGTTTTTTCTCTATTTGAGTTTGAGCGACTCCTTTTATTGAAATTTGTATTCCTCTGAGAAGCGTCAATTATGTAGGGTAACTTCTGAACTGTGTAACATTTAAAAAAATATTGAAACCTTTTTAAATAATCACTCCTTACAATAAAATCAATCAAGTTACTTGAAGGTTTACTTTTTTCAGCTGGAGAACTCGATGCGCTTGACTGAAAAATAAATAAATAACATATAAATTTATGAAATAATGAAAAAAATAATTAAAAGCAACAAAAGAATGAATAATAATGATGGTTGCAGGTCTAAAACCTGTTAAAATTAATGTTACAAAAACATATTAAAAATGCGACGGCATTTCAATTTCTAACTCTGTCGGGCGTTTGAACGATGATCGGGAATGATGTGTAGTGCATCACCTCGCTACTCCTGTGGCCTTTTGCATTTTAAATTAATTTTTAGTTTAACATTAATGAATATCGGTAAAATTTGATGAATTAATTGAGTCAAAAATATGATCAAGTAGCTATTTTTTGTTGATATTTATTAAACCTTTGAGTTCAAATCTTTTTCGGTTGACAGGTTTTTCTAATTTGCGCAGTCGTTTGAGAAACAATTCTTTCGATCTTTCGTTGTTGAATCCCCTGAGTAATAGCGAATAAATAACTTGTGTTAATTAGGTAAACTCGTATTAATTATTCAAAGTCAACGGCATTCGCTAAAAAGATGTGTTAATTAGGTAAACTCGTATTAATTATTCAAAGTCAACGGCATTCGCTAAAAAGATCTGAAAAAACAATCCATTTGTTTGTAAATTAAAAAATGGCTCGTCGCAATTTCCAACTGAATACGTTTTCGGTGGCAGAGAATTAAAAATGATTGAGTTTATTTTATTCCACTATTTGCTAAAATTAAGACGAAACCATTCATTAGCAGCTTCTTCATTTTTCACCAATCTATTGGTCCTGACCCTTCTTGATCCCGCAAACGAAATCCTGCTATCGTTGGAGGACCTCTGACTTCTTGAAGATGGTTGATTGTTTCCCGCTGGTGGTGGTGGCGACGAAAACGAGGGCGGAGATTTTACTCCTCTTAAATGTAGCGAGTGAGGTGATAGCAGAAGAATATCGCTGTCAACTTTTCTATTTTTGTTGATGTCATGATGACGGTTAGACCAATCGAAATCATTTGATTCACCGGTTTCAAATGAGTTTTCTGAGTCAATCCATGCTTGTTTGTATTGTTCATAATCTTTAAAAATTCTGAAAAGTTTTTTTTCAACAAATATAGCTTGAAATAAGAAAAAAAACAAAAAGAATTTTCTGAGTATAACTGAATGCGCTATCCTACGCTTTTCACCTGTTGCTGTCATTTTTTTGTTTAGAAGTCTCATTCAAATATTTGTGGAATGCTAGATCGAGGTCATCACCGTCTTCATTTTCATTATAAAAATGATCATCTGCTGTCAAATGTTTCATGAAAACTCCTCCACCACCACCATCATCATCGTCATCAATTTGTAGATCGCTTCTAATCATTCGCATCTTTTTCCTCACTGAATAACCCCTCCAGAGACTCTGAATGAATTAATCAAACAAAACATAAAAAATAACGCATGATGTACGATGAAGAGATTACCTGAATTTTAACAACGGCAATGTGATCGTTATTTGGTTGAGAAATTATTTTACATGTTGGTGGCGACAAAGATGATGATTGCGTAGCGCTGGTGCCAGTTAGTTGTTTTGTGCTTGTCTCTGATTTATTTGTAACAGATGCAGAAGATAACGAAAAATTATTGAATGACGCTTCGGAAATATTTGATGTAGTTTTCATGCATGAATACATCAATGTTGAACTTGTTGATGTCATCTCCATTAATGTAGGTGCTGTTGATGCTGTTGTTGATAATGTCGTGCCGTCAACTGTCTGACATGATACTGGTATGATATGTTTTGGTGACCAACACGGCATCAAACCATCTGCATCAACATCTTTCTCGTAAAATTTTTTTAACGCAACGGCCGAGTCACGAAACTCGCTTGCCACATTTTTAAACATTGTTAATCTCTCACAAAAGGCAAGGTCTGATTGGCTGAAATTTCAGTTTATTAAAAATTACCAAAAATATGAATCGTTTGTAAGTAATTTGTAATTTTACAAATTCAAATGAAACAAACTTTTCGAAAAAGGCTGAAAATTTTTCGTAACATTCATAATAATCCTTCACCAACGACAGTTCCGACTGATCCATGTGAGATGTACGATTATTTCGATCGTGGCCCAAACAGGGCAGTGCGCTACTTAGCAAATTTCTGTTGAGAAAAAAACATTTTTTTCTGCTTTTGTTAAAATTTAAATAAATAAATAAGCATATTAGTCATTTATTTAAGGACCAAAATCATAAAACCGAAACCAAACAAACTTGTAGTTAGCAATGCATGTGCATGGATTGTTGGAAACGTCCAACAATCTTAAACTGTCATTCCCTTTCAACGAATTAATTACCGTAGATACATCTGTGACAACGTTTTGAATCCAAATTGGCGTTTTGCGTATTATTTTAAATTTTAAATATTCAACAAAGTTAATGATTGAAAAGTAATTATATGTTTTTTTTAAAACAGTATTCAAACCCTCGATGTGATTGCACGAGATATTTAAAGATGTTAAATTCAAGCAAGCAATGAAACTCCCACATTTTGCTATCCTGTTTTATCGAGTTGGTATTAGAGAACAATTATTAATAAGAAAAACTCATTGTGAACAGTAATTTTTAAAATTTTTGTAACAAATATTCCATTTGGCCTGGCGTGTAAGATGAATTTCTGCCTAACTTCTATTAAATAAATGCGTAATAATAAATCAATATTATAATTAAACGGTAGCAAGCAATTAATACAGTACATACTAATTAATTTGTTAACGTAGTTTAAAGTGACAACTTGTTAAATAAAAAACATCACGACAAAGTTTTATATTCACAAAAAAGGTAATTTAAAAAACTGGCCTGTTTCTAGCAGCAGATAGGCACCGTAACATCGGCAGCCAGGCTTCAAATGCACGCAAGTCATTTAATTTGTTGTTGTCCAGTGAAACATCCACTAAAAAGATGTTATCGCGGATAACTGCAATCTACATTTCACGGAATGAACATTTAAATTTAATGAAAGCCAAATTAATAAATCGAGTTTAACTTAATTTCAAATGGCGAAAATATCAACTGCGAACATCTGAGATGTCATTATTGTCAGCTATCATCCTCCCGAGAGACCTCCACGATTGAACCTTATCAATTGAGGATAAATAATTTGAAGAGATGTTGATGATTTGGAGAGAGTGCAAGTGAGAGAATTCCGACAATGTGATGAGTTGGTTGTTTGATGCGTTCAGGTACTGAAGATTGCTAAGGTTGCCTAGTTCATCTGTAAAAAAATCATTGATAAAATTCTGAACTCTAAAAAACTCTAAAAATGTAAATTAATTTATTTCTTCATATTATTAATTATCAATTAATTAATTTTCACAACAAGAACGATAACAATACAACAATTAAAACAACAACTAATATCAATATTGAAACTTCATTTTAAAAAACAAACAACAGACTTAATTTAACAATATTGTTGTATGCCAAACTGAGGAACATGATGTTGGTGCAACCGTTCAGGGCTTCTTGCACCCTCCTAATATTGTTCTTTGAGAGATCCAGATAACATAATTTATCCATACCACCAAAGTCCATCCATTCTATCGCGTTATTCTTTATAGTAACAAAGTTTTTTTAATGAATAAACATTTTGGCAATATCAATATAGAAAATTTGAAATGGGAAAAGTTAGAAAATTTGTCAGAAAAAACGTAATTTGGTTATTTCTTTAATTTAAATAAGTGGTAAAAGAGAGTAAAGTGTTGGCAGCCATAGAGTGTCGGAGTCGGAAATTGTGGGATATTTTTCATCCGACTCCGAAACTTTGGCAACAACAGAGCGAATGTTCGACCACTTACAGAGAGATCCAGAAATTGAAGGTTTCTGCAAGAATTGATGCCACGTATCGTTGTGAGAGTCTTGTTGTTCGTTATCTGCAGGCATTTCAAATTGGGACACAGAGTGGAGAGAGAGTTGAAATGATAACTTTCATTCAGGCTGTTCATGCAAAGATGCGAAACCTCGAAGCAATTTATGTTTCGTGCAATGTTCATGTACACTCGAAATCAAATATTAACTGTTGTATATTAAAATATTTAACCAATCAATCACTGAAATATTTTGTAATGGCATTTCCTTTCTGGTTAATCGTGCTTTTCACTTTTTTTTATAAATTTATTGGTTCGTACGCACAAAATGAAAAAATGTGTGCGCTTTAGTTTATGATGGTATGGCATCTTTTTGCATTCGAATCTGATCACTGCGACAGACTTGCTACTTTTTCGGCGCGCCAACTAACGAAAGATGTATTCATTTTTTCGGCGGCATGATGGCCTAGTGGTTAAAGTCGCCTGGTGCTCTTTCGCAGTAACCGGGTTCAAATATGACTAAAAGATCCCAGCCTACCACATGCTTCTTGGGTGATGCGTCGTTTCTTCGCAGTAACCGGGTTCAAATATGACTAAAAGATCCCAGCCTACCACATGCTTCTTGGGTGATGCGTCGTTTAGTATGTATTCATATACGATATTTGTGGCGTGTTGTTGAATCCTCTTAACTTTGGAAAAGTGTAATTGACCTTTTACTTTTTAACTTTTAAATATTCATTCAATCACAAAACTTAATCACAGTTTTCAAGTTTCTTTCGTCGGAATGTTCCAAGATGCATGATTCATCAATTTCTTTTGATTGGTCATTTGCAAGGCACGGAATGTAAACTGGAGAAAAAGAAGATGATGTAGCTGCTGATGTTTTTGACAAAAAATTATTCCTAGCATATGAAGATGTATTTTTTGAAGCGGATTCAGCATAATAATCAATCAAATTTTGCTTCCAGAGATTTTTTAACTTTTCAATTGTTCTCTTTCTCAAGTCCTCATCAACGACAATTTCATTTTTAGCATCCTGTTCCGATGTATGTGAATATTCTAACGTAAACAATGTAGGTAACGCTGGGATTGTTGTTGTTGTTGTTGCTGTATTTGACTTTGTATATGATATTGTTGTAATTGTAGATGTTGTCGTTGTTATTGCCGTCATCGTTGCTGTTGGAATCATGATTTTTGTTGGATCCATGGATGTTGTTGCTGAAATGGAATGTTGTTGTTGAAATAATGTTGTATATAAAATAGCAGTTGTTGTTATTTGTGCAGTGGTGAGATGAATGCTTCTTGAAGATGGATAACTGGATGTTGTTGTAAAAGATTGATGTTTGATTGGCTGGTCATCATTTGGTGTCATTAACGATGAAGTTGCTGTTGTTGCTGATGAGGAAGGTGGTAGTGATGTAAATGCAGAAAGCAAATGTTATAATCCAATCCAATAGATGTATGAATTTTTTAGATGTTAAACGTATAACTATCAAATTTATTCACATTAAAAAGAATACTGTTGCAATTGATATCAATTTTATAAATGAAATTTATCATTTAGTATTTAATTAAAATAAATCAAAACCTCTGGATGTCGACATGAGCAACATTTGAGGTAGTTTAGACGCATGCAAGTGCAATGATGACGTTAACAATGATAATGGTGATGAAGATGATGATGAGGATGAAGATGATGGTATTATTGATGACGTCAACATTGATGATGCTGATGATGTCGAAGATGACGATGAAGTTGATAAATTTTGTTGAGTTAATGAAATATTTGAATGGGTAGGTTTGAGTGAATTTGAAATTGATGATGAAGTTGTTGATGTTGTTGACGCAAGTGGTGATAATGTTGTGGTTGGTGGCGAGATTGTTGTTAGCTCTGCTGCTGTTGTTGAAACATTTGATGATGCCGCCGTAAGATTTTTTGAAGACAACATCGATACTGTTGACGATGTTGTTGTTGTTGTTGAAGTTGATGACAGCGTTGTAAATGTTGTTGGTCTTGTCGTCGAAACATTCAAAATACTTTCAACTTTTTTTGCCGCTGCATTATTGCATGGTTTGATACTGAAACCATCAATTCTTTCAGAAACAACGACATGGTTCTGGTTCACATGTTGCTCATTGTTTTTTGAACTTTCAGAAATGTGAGAATTGAATTTCATTTTGTATGTATCTCTTCTGGGTTTGTCTCTAAATAACTTAAAATCCAGAAAGCTTCTGAATAATTTTTGTATCTTTGATGCCGATGAATTCTTCCTGCTAAGGAGCTGGAGATCATTTTCTTGCAATTGTTCCTTCATCAGTTGCATCTGTCTGTTTCTTGCCTCTATTTCTTGCTCCATCTCCATCTGCAAAGTTATGGAGTTGTAAAAAAATATCCGTTACATAACATCAAAAAAAATTAAAAATTGAATTTTAAAAATAAAAAAAATTATTGAAATACGAAAAAATTAGATAGTTTTTAATAAAATTACTCTAGCTCGTTCTAAGATGGACTCATCAAATGTTTCGATGGTCTCATGAGACAGGAGATCATTTTTCATCAATGGAATATTCACATGGCTATCAATATCTCTGGTTGGCTCTTTCGGTTTTTCTATATTAATCTGAAGTAATTTGCAAACAAATATTTTTTATTATTTATTTCATTTAATTCATTCGTTCATTTTAATCAGCTCTCTCGCTGAAATAGCAAGACTATCTACCGTACAATTTATCTACGACATGGTGTTCCGCGTGCAGGCAGATGTTCAAACGTACCAGTACAAACGTGCGTCGTAAGGCCTGCGCATGTTAGTACCTATTTGAGAGACTTTGGGGCGCAAAAATTTAAATGAAACTACACAAGTAAATACAAAATTGAAAGCAAATCTGCGTTTGCATGCTAGAAAACAAAGAAACGTTTACTCATTTTAACGCCTAGTTAGTTTATTCAACTGCAATTGAACAAAATAGAAATGTTAAAATGAGTTGTTATTTAATGTAGGAACGTTAAAATAACTATAAAAGAAAATAATTCAAGAAACTTCCAACACTACATGATCAGAATGACTTGTTTCGTGAATTTCTTTCAAAAGTTTCATGCTCTTCTCAATTAGAGCATCGTCAGATGTCGACACCGACGTATATTCATTGAGGACATTCTCAATATTTCTCATTATCTGTAAACGTGTGTTGTGTGTGTGTGTTTATGTATGGTATGTGTGTGTGTGTGTGTGCGGTTTATTATTATATTGTAGTGGTCAAACTAACGTTGGAACATAAACTTTCATTTTCGCTAGTCTGACTTTCAGATCCTGAAATAAAAAAATTTCAGAAATTGACTAAAAATTTCGTTAGATGATTTTGTTACATTACCTTCATCTTCAATAGCTGACTGACATTCATTTATGGATTTTGTGAAATCATCGACATTCACGTTCATTTCAGAATCTGGCAATATACGTATGACATCCGTAAAAGTTGTTCACTCAAATTTATTTTGGAATTATCGGCGCATAATCTCAGACAGTAAAAGAGTCATGTTTCGCGTCGTTGTTATTGCACATGGGCTTGGTTCGAATCTCTCTGAAACCCCAAAAACACAGGGTTATGGTGAAATTTACAAGAAAATATATAGTATTTTGAGTGGCATGAAAGTTAAGTTACAACAAAGTCAAAGAAGATATGTATGAGCTGGTAGGTAACAACTACCTATTAAAAGACAAAAAAATTATACAATAGTCTTATTTAGATAATCATTAAATACCAAATCGGCTTTTTTCTTCATTAATACCGCAATTTTCAGTTTCTAATGAGAGTTGATCATGCCGTAGTAACGCTTCATTCTTTTCCAAAATATTGATTTCGTTCATTTGATTCTCTATTTCTTCATCAATCCAGTGCTCATTGTCCATTTTTTGTACGTAATAAAATAACTTCTATAATAATAACTAGATTCTAACTATGTTGAATTGAACATGTGCAATTGTACACTGTATGTACGTGTACGTACGCAAAGTGTTCTGTGCATCACTTATTCAACTGAGATTTTTTTCAAATGTCAAGCATTTCTTTGCTTATTATTACACTACATTCAAATAAGTAACATATTAATTTTATGTTTTTGATATATTACATTTATATATATTACAAACAACGTATTATTATATACATTAAAATGCAAGTGCTTGTAAGAAATTAAATGAACGTTACTAATGGTAACCGAAAACTTGGGCAATTTTTTAAAAGTAAATTATGTTTAGAAAGTTCTATTACTTTTTTCCCTTGTTTATTCATTGTTTAACAATAAAAAAATATTAAAACATTTCAAAGTTTAATATTTAAAACTGTAAAATAATCCAATATAATGTTGATGCATAAAAGCAACAAAAAATATAGTTATTTTATAGGAGAGAGATTATTTAAACGTTTAAATAGAATCTTTTGTTTGCAATGACGTCGACATCAAATAATTCGTAGTACAAGAACAACAATGTAACATAATTTGTTTTTCTATCGTATTTATATAAAATAATGAAGCAGAAAAATAATTTCTAAAGAAACACTTTTTGACAACATCAGACGGTACAGGCAAATGTTTAATATGTGAGGCCAGAGTCTAATATAAATCAATTTTTTATGTTTTTCGTATAAAATTTATATTAGATATAAATAACTAAATAAATCAACTAAATAAATAATTACTTCAATTTACTTTTCCTCCAGAACCAAGTTGGTCGTCTTTTTATTTAAAAATTAATCTACAAAAAAATGGCCGACCCGGAATTAAATGTGGATAGCCTGATTATGCGACTCTTAGAAGGTTTGACATGAATGGAGCATATTTTGAAATTTTACAACTCGTGTGATATTAACCAATTATTTTTTTACCTAATTTTATTCCTCCCCCAGTCCGGGGTGCCACCGGAAAACTGAAGACAGTTCAAATGAATGAGGCAGAAATTAGATCACTGTGTCTGAAGTCCCGGGAAATATTTCTTAGCCAACCCATACTTTTAGAATTAGAAGCACCATTAAAAATTTGTGGTAGTTAATTAGATAAATTTTTTTTCTATTTGATTCAGACGTTTTTCATTTGTTTTTCAACTTTTTTGGCTAAAATAATGTTAAATTATGAGCAGATTAGACCAGAAGTTTAAATTTGAATGTAGATGATAAGGATAAAGATAGATTAGTTAGATTGTAAAGCATATTTTGATTTCAATTCGTAAACGTTTTGTTTGCAGGAGACATTCATGGGCAATACACAGACTTGTTAAGGTTGTTTGAGTATGGTGGTTTTCCTCCAGAGTCCAACTATCTCTTCCTTGGGGATTATGTCGATAGAGGCAAACAATCATTAGAAACTATTTGCTTATTACTGGCCTACAAGATAAAACACCCTGAGAATTTTTTCTTACTAAGAGGGAATCATGAATGTGCCAGCATCAATCGCATTTACGGGTTTTATGATGAATGTTTGTATTTTTTGATATAATTATGTTGTCGTTGTTGATTGTTATTGAACGAACTAATTTTATCACTAATGCGCTAAAAAATCTAGATGACTTTATGAATAAACATGCTAGTTTTTGATTTTAAGTTCATTCATTAAGTTTAAGTCTTAATACATACATTGAACATTTTTTGGTTGAGGACTTTCCATGCTGAATTTATTCAATTAAAATAAACCAAATAAAACTAAATTTTTCAACTGTAATAATTGAAAATAAGATTTTTTTCACAAAGATATCAGGGTCTAATAGATAATCATTATTTCATAATTAGCATTTTTAAGCATTTTCCAATGAAATAATTGTTTCAGTAACATTAAATTTTGTTCAGGTTGGCTATTGAATTGATATTATGATGATATATTTGGGTGGTGTTTTGTTATAACGTATGTATTGTAATCATCTATTGTAATGATATATTTTAATGATATATTGTGATGATATATCATGTTGATATATTGTGGTGATATATTGTTGTAGGCAAACGTAGATTCAACATAAGGCTGTGGAAGACATTCACAGATTGTTTCAATTGCCTTCCAGTTGCTGCCATCATTGACGAGAAAATATTTTGTTGTCATGGAGGTGGTTCTCTTTTTTGGTCATTTTAAATGATTTTATTTTCATTTTTCCTGATGAAAATGCATAGTTTGACAGTGTGAGTTGCATTTAGTTTAATAGTTTCTGATGTTATTGATGTCAAAATTTAGTTTTAATAGCAGTTAATTGACTGTATAACTTAAATGTATCCTGTTTGGTGGATTCTTATATATATTTTTTTTGTGAAAATTTTTGTTTAGAAACGTTTATTTTGTTGGTTTAAGTAGGGCAAAACTAAGTTTAAAATCTGTGGTGAATAAATGTGTTTTATTTTTGTCAAACACCTGCTGCTAGCACTACTTTGAATATGAATTATAATTTTTATAATAATAATAATTAAAATATTTTGATAATTATCAAGATATTTTATTTCAAAAGTGTGTGTAAATTCTCTTCTCTTAGGTCTCTCACCAGACTTACAATCCATGGAACAAATTCGTAGAATCATGAGGCCCACAGATGTCCCTGATACTGGTCAGTTGGTTGGTTGGTTGACTGATTTGTTGATCAGTTGATTGGTTGGCTGAGGTAGATTGATCTGTTGTTCATTGGTTGGTTTGTTAGTTGTCTGTCTTGTAGGTTGTTTGACAGATGTTTGGCTATTAATTCAGTTGTTTAGTTTTTTCGTTATTTTGTTTTATGGACTTTTTGTTTGGTCATTAAATTGATTGAGGGCTTAATTGACCAGTTTCTTGTTTGGTTTGCATACTCGATTTATTGTTCAACCTTACTGTATAATCATACATTTGTATTAGTTTTTAATTGTTATGATCTAATTTGGTGAGCTGAATTTAGAATGTTACTTTTTCATTTAACTGTATATGTGAATTTAAGTAAATTCATTTATTTACACATTTGTTTGATATCGCATTTATTTCGACATATTTTCTGATGCTTTAAATGATATATAGTTTTTATACAAAAAATATTTATATTTTAAATTGCATTACCTCGTGGCATCTGCTGAGCAGGTCTATTATGTGATCTTCTCTGGTCTGACCCCGACAAAGACATCCAAGGTTGGGGGGAGAATGATCGGGGGGTGTCCTTTACGTTTGGCGCAGATGTTGTTACTAAGTTCCTTAACAGACACGATCTTGATCTTATCTGTAGGGCGCACCAGGTTCGTTGTTTGGTAGGAAAAATGTTGTGTGAAGTTGTGTGAAGTTTTGTGATGTTGTTTGAAGTTGTGTGAAGTTGTGTGGAGTTATGTGAAGTTGTGTGATGTTGTGTGAAGTTGTGTGAAGTTGTGTGAAGTCAGGTTCATGTGACTGGATGGCTGTATGCATGATTTGGCGAACTAGTTAAGGAGAAATAAAGTTCTTCTTTCATACAGCTCTTCTTGTGTTCTGGCATGTTCTGAATGCTGTGCTTGCAAAACTTGATTACTACGCATCTAAATATCTATGTACCACTATATAAGGAATAGTTTTTAAGAAGTTCTGCATTTTTTAAAGATGCATTAATAATGAGCAGAACATTTTTATCAAAGTATTTTGTACTATTTTATAAAGTTTCTTCATAAGATTTCATGTACATCTATTTGATTTATGATGAGTGGCAAAGATGTTGCTTTAGAAATATCTGTGAAGACAGCTGATGAAAAATTGAACATTGTAATTGCAAATATTTAAATAAAAAGTGTTAATGCTCGGAAACTATAAACATTGTTAAATAATTTTAACCTCACAGAATACTTAAGTTAGATAAAAACTGATAACGTTCATCTGATTTATTGTTAAGATTATTTTTTTATTTGCACAACTAAGCTCTCAGCATCATAGTTTCGTACCTTCTATGGCTTACAGCTTCAAATTTATTAATATTAGGTTGTAGAGGATGGTTATGAATTTTTTGCCAAACGACAACTTGTAACGTTATTTTCCGCCCCGAACTACTGTGGTGAGTTCGACAACGCTGGTGGAATGATGTCTGTCGATGAATCTCTCATGTGTGCTTTCCAGGTACATTCATAACTATCAAATTTTTCACTTTGCTATTAAGTAATGATGTCACTCACAAGCAGTAATTGGGTATTTTAATGAGCAGTAATTAATTTAATGATGGAATTAGTTTTACGCTTTAGAGAGCTATTTTGGGAATTTTATTGTTTTTTCTCGGACGGTATGTATGCGACGTAATAAATCAATATGATAATATGATCAAATATATTTTTGAAAATTTAAGATTTTGAAGCCGTCAGAAAAAAAGACGAAGTATCAATATTCTGGCTTGAACTCTGGCCGACCGACCACCCCAATGAAAGACAAAGACCTACCAGGAAAGAAGAGATAATAATTCTTCCTTCTTTCCTCACCATCTTTATTTTTAACATTAATTATGCGCATTAGGTTCCCACACTCTCACATACTTATAATTATAATCAGATTTTATTATTCGTTTTTCATTTTTCGTCTCATTCATTGTCCTACCCATGTAAATTCATTCAATATTATGATGATGAAAGCAGTTAATTTGTCCATTCAATCAGTTCATGTTAGTCAGACGTGCGGGTTATTATTCTATACAGTGACGCTTTTCTTGTTTCTTTATCAACATTTTGTAATATTTGTTTGTTTGTTAATTTTTTTATTTGTTCTTTAATTCACGGCTATATAAATTGTGCATATAATGATGCTGATGACTGGTTGGTTATTTATGTTATGTCTGTCTTCATCTTAACTTCAGCCATCCCGTTAAAATTCAACTAACTTGTTTCATTGTTTCATTCATGTATTTCATATATTTATTTTCAGTAGTGATTTTTTTAATAGTTTTTTTTTTATTTTTTGTAAATTTTGAAATGTGTAACTTGTGCAATTTTAATGTTAACTTCAGCAGTTCCTACTTGTCAGTTTGTTTTGTATTCCTACTCGACCAGTATGTGCGTGCTATGTGACGAGGCGCTGCATGAAACACAAACATTTTTTTTGCAAACAGTTTTCAATTAAAGTCTTTTTACTTGAACTGTTCAAATAATTTTGTAAACGAACCTCCATCCAGCCTTCACATTTGAAGCCCACTTGAATGTCATTCTTCATCATTTATTTTTTCACCACACGCGACGCCTGCTTTTTAACATTTGCCTCCCTTCCTAAAAGTTTTTATTTTTCATGTATGTACGTGCGTAGAATGCTCGGTTGTGGCGGTAGACTAATTTGTTTGTAAATTGTCCATGTCTATAGTCAACGCTTACATGTGTCATTGTTTTGCGTGCATGTATGCGTGTATATGTATGCGTGTGCATGTAGTGACGAATATATGTAGTATTGTACGTAATGCACATTTCACTGCACATGTGATACATTTTTTGACCAAATTTAAATGAGTATTTTCCTGTTTTAATTATCTGAGTGCGCATAATTAATTAATAAAAATTGTAAAACGACTAACATTGTAGACAATATTTTCTCTTGCGTTAATTTGTGCATGTACATATCTTGTAATGTTTCATTAACGTTGTGTGTGTGTTCACCCAGTGTATGCACTCACAAACCTAATACTATTTCTATCGATCTACCAAACAATCCACACGTTATCTTGAAATTTTGTGAACATTTGTTACATTTATGAATAATATTATTTTGGACGGCGCGCAAGTGTGTGTGACTTGCGTGTATGCTCACGTTGAGCATGGCATTTTCACCAATTATCGTATTTTAACCGCTGATTCAATTTTTTCTCTACAAATAAATAAAAGTTAGCAAAATAAGTACAAAAACGAATTGTGTTTTAATAATTTGCATCTGGATGTTGTTGATTGTTCGTTCATTACTCCATTTGCTGGCGCAATATCCATCATCTTATGCTTTGTGGTTGCTCCAGTTTTCAATTGTGATCAAATTGACGGACGTGCGGGAACGTTTCGTTGTTGGGTCGGTGTGTTTAACCTGTGCGAAAAATGCTTTGAATAGTTTTGATTTATGTTTTTAAAACTGAATTAGAGATTTTCATCGTGCACCAACTTCACTGATCACACTCGGTATGAATAATTATACTTAACTGTCTCTGATTATTTCACTGTTTTTGAATGAGAGTTGCTGATAAGAACTTTAAAACCAAGTGTGTTTTTTTTTAAAAGTTTGATCAAGTGTTGCACGGCATACTGGATATCGCTTATTCGTTGTGGAAATATACGCATTTACCTACATACGGATCTTAGTTCGAATGATGTTTGTGCCTACACAGGCCAATAAAGTTAGGAAAAATACAATGTTAAGAGTGAAAGTGCTAGCTGATGATTTCTTCATTAAATGTTTACAATCGAAAGTAGCGGAACGTTTTGTTCAAATTTTACCTGAATGTAAATCATAAAGCAAAGATTTTTTTAGATATTCATCAATTTAAAAATTGACATTGTTATCAACGGTTGTTATCAATGCCAAGACAAATAAAACTTCAGTCTGTATGAATATTCATGAATGGTAGTCAAACAATTCAAATACATGAACTATCTCTTTCTATAACGGGCGATTTGAAGCCAAGTTTTGAATGTAACTTTTCATCATATAATACATCAACCGATCATAAAAATTTTCCGCCATATTCTTGATAACGTTAATTCAGAATGAAGGTAGATTTATGATTTGTTGCCAATTAGTTATTTGCAAACGTTCACACACAACACATTTCGATATAGACAGATTAAAAAAGAAGAAGAAATGAGTTATTGAAGAGGAAGTGAAGGAAAAATTACAAATTTGTAGTAAATTTAGGCACCTCTCACATTTCTGACTCGCAATGCGTAACTTACGATAGGTGTGACCTTTTGACAAGCCAATAAATTGTTGTCTTCATGTGTGAATGTACGCTATAGGACGTATGTATCGCGCTTTGGACGCGCATTCGTTGGAGATATTGCATATTAGGCAACGATACGGAGTTGTGATATTTAATAAAAAAATTTTTTGTAAATGTTCAAAAAACCATCATCCAAATTTGTAACTACTAAATTGAATCTACTAAAAAACATTTTTAGAAAAAAATATAGTCGAAGGTAGTTTTTTTGCTTCAAATTTGTTTTAGCAACAGTTAAATTATGTATTTAACTGTTTTTTTTATATCTTATTTTTCCGATTTTTAATCTAATGATGATTATATGCGTTTCAATACTGATTTTAAGTACCATGTTGGTCAACATTTCCATCATCACCACGGTTCGTCTATAACTTCATCCTTATCTTAATGGTCAGACATAACATTAAAAGATTTTTGCTTCAGAGTCATCTCATTACAAAACTTTTCAGAGCGACACGTCCACGAAACACTTTTGTCAAATCTTAGTCTCTCCTTTGCCGTGAAACATAAGGTGCGCACCATCTTATCCGCGTTTACCGTATAGTAAGAACTTGTTTGAAATCGATAAGTTTTTAAAAATATAATTTCACCTTTCAAATTGACGACAAGAAAGTTTAAAAATAGATCAACGTTCTGACGACATCTGGCACGATAAATTAATATGCAGTTTAAAACGTTTGATTGATTGGTGAAAAAACAATAAAAAGTTGAATCAAGTAGGTTACAAACTTTTAAAACTAAAGCATCCTTCTGCATTTCCAATGAGCAGAAACTGGGAAGTAGTATTGTCAAGTGTTCAATCAAGTCTTTCCTTCCGCGCAAGCTGTCAACTAGCCTTATCATAATGTCCACCTCGCCTCCTGTTGGTGTCGCAACTTTTAACTTACTCAGAAGGTTGTTAAACTTGCGGTAAGCTCCTTTCTGTCCGTGAAAATGATATTTCAACGCTTCTTTGTACGTCTTTTCATCGGTGATCTTGAAAATATTTCCATCTGAAAGCCTCGTCGTGAATAAATGATCGAAATGTCGGGACCTTTTGGTACTATTGCTTCTAACAGTTTTGAGACTTTCTGTTTCGGTGCTGTTTTTCGAATAATTTATCATCGTTGTATCACTCTTCGTGGTAGGTCTACCGAAATTTGTCCTCCCGAAACTAAGTTGCTTGCAGGTGCTATAATAGGTCATATTTCACGGTTGATGTTTTTTTCTACTAAATTTTCATTCTATTCACGTAAGCATTTTTTAATATCTCCAACGAATTGTACCAATGTTAATGAAGCTAACTGCGAAATCACACCTGAATCACTTTATATGCAGTTGTCACCAGCCGTCACTATGACAACCGACGCTTCTTATGAATTTGAGCGTCACGCCATGAATTAGCACGAGGTTGGCGTTTCGAAAGTAGATGACTTTTTTCCATCGCATTTAGCTAGGCTTCAACGCCGCGATATAATACAACAATCACGTAAAGAAAATCCAAATACGCTATACCAATTTCACTCGTTTTAACATTTTAATCATGCCTAATTGCAAAAACTATGAATTTTTTTAAAACAATGTAAAAGCAAGCGATAAAAAGTAAAAAAAGCACGATAAAATTTGAAAAATTAAATTGAATACAAAGGTAAAAACACGTACCAGTAAAACGTTGTTATAAACTGTACAAAAATTATAAACAAACGTGGTTATAAATTTATAGTTTCAAGCACTCATCAAGATGATGGTTTATGAGTTCTATTTTGAATTCCAACTTGCAGACTGGACATGACACAAACTTCATAACTTTCACGCTTGGGCTACGAAGTAATATGGAAGATGATAACGGGTAATCATCCTCATCATCATTTACATATTCATCTTCATTATCACCGTTCTCTTTATTGTTTAACAATAAACTTTCAACCGTAGGTCGCAGATGTTCACAAGATGTTGATGAATTAAGTGAGGAAGATTGTTTGATGACTTCAGAGAGCAACTGCTCATGTCCACTCGTTGACGGCTGGCCAGAACCAACTGGTGATGGTGATGATGGTCGTGAAGATGCGGGTGATGATGATGGGGAAAGCAGACACAATGATGATTCAGAAGGAGAGGGCGAAGAACAAAACACAGGTAAAGACAAATTAAAATAAAGAGTTGGGGAATTTTTAGATTTATGAGCAGCAGCTGCAAAATTGTTTTGATAGAATGACATTCCCTTAGAACGAGCCAGCAAACTAAAATTTGGATAAGATGGAAACAGTGGAGAGGATGTGAATGATCCAAATGAATTGTGGTATCCAAGTGGATACCTGAACTGTTTAGGCCGAAACAAGGAAAAATTTTTTGAAGATGAAGGCGTTAAGTATGGCATCTGAAACTTAGATGAGCGTTGGTGAGCGGGAAAATATGGATATCTTGGGAAAGCAAATGGTGAATTAAAACTCCTGAACTTAGACCACTTATTTGAATACCTAGACCAATTATGAGGTAGATAGTGAGCATGAAAGTTGGAATACCATGAATTTAATGGAGATGATCCATGAACCATTGATCCAAAAGATGGGCGGAATGTATTTGAAGAAGGTAGAGTTGGACATATCTTGAAAGGTTTGACTGTGATTGGTGACACCTTTGACATCCTCATGCGAGATTTTGTCAAAAATGTAATTTTTGATTTTTGAAAAACTGGTGACTTCTTTGTTGATGGTGATTCAAATTTAGGTTGTCTTGAAACATTTTCACTTGGTAATTTCATTGGTGAAAAACATGGTGAAGTGATTGGAGATGAGGAAACCAGAAGTTTTCTTACACGTTCAGGGCTATCAAAACTTTTTTCATCACCCATGTTAGAAACACATTTTGGTTGCACTGAATCACTTTGGCTACTCAAGTGTTCTTCTTCACATTTAGAAGCAAAGGCACACATCTCATTATCATCATCATCCATTTTGGTTTCATCATTAATTTTAACACCGTCGTCAGCAGTTTCAACATAAATATTATTGTTGCACCCACTAGAATCGTCAGTGTTGAGTGATTTATTTTTCAAAGGTTGATCAAACCTACCAGACTTTTTAACAAGAGTGCCACAATCACAGTCATTATATTTTCTTTTCAATTCATTAAAACTTAATTCACTGACTTTGTTAGGATAATCAAAGTAACTGGCATATTTACTTTTATAGTGTTTGTGATTGGAGACCGAAATGAAATTGGGTATCCATACTATTGCACCAACCTCTAAACTTGCATCTGATAAAATAGACTTTTTGTCTCTGGTCTTGTCAGTTATTACTATAGCTGAAGATTTTTGATTGGAAGAACTACCTAATGTATTTGTTTTGACAGTGAAAAACTTTTCAAGCGTTGTATAGTTATTTTGTTTTAAGACTTTTGGTTCAGTTTTTTCTTTATTTTGTTGCTTTTTACTTATACTATCTTCATCTCTATGAAAATTGCTTTCAGAATTATATTTGTTAGTTGTAATACTTTCAGTTAATACTTTATTATTCCTGTTTGTCAAACTTTCTTCATGAAGCTCTTTGAGAACTTTAGACATTGAAGAAACAGAAGAAGAACTGCCCAATTTGTAACCAGACCCAGTGAAGTAAGCAGTTGAGGTTGTGGGAGCAGCATTCTCAACACCAGTGGATTTGTTTGCAGCATCACCAGTTGCAGACTTGAACAAGAAACTATTCATTTCATCATCATTTGCCTCTTTATCATTGATTTTAGAAAACGTAGATATGTTAGTATTAGGCTTTGGAGTTGGAAAATTGTTGCTAATAGGAGCTTTGCTGGTTTTAAGGTTAGAATCTTTGAAACTGTTGTTGATGGAAACTTGTTTGCCAGAAGTAGAAGATGTCTGTCCTTTTTTAGTTGCTAAATTTTCTGGTTCTTTAATTTTTGTGAACGTACCCCCACAAGTTGCTTGATGAGATGACCACCACGTGTCATTTGAGGAGGGTGCCCGATTCATTGACCTCTTGACATAACCATAAAATGGTTGCTTGGTTCGGCAGGGTCCATCACAGCGCCACCAATGCTGCTGGTACAATGCAACTTCATCATGAAAACTGTGGTAGATCTGTCAAATATAATGCAAAGTTATGACTCAATATCAGCTATGGAATTACATTAAATGTATTTATAATAACAGTTATGTTGAGTCCAGTTTCTTTGTTAAGTCTGTACATGTGACTTTTGAAATTAGGACCATGTCCATCTCGATCCTGACAGTAGAAAAATAATTAAATGTTCCATCAGTTTAGTCAATAACATTTTATAATCAAAAATCTTATGTACTGAATTATAAATTGAAAATAAGCTAATGCAGATGCATAGAAAGTTAATAAAACAATAATAAGACTATAACTTGAAAAAATTTACCCACTCTATCATTGTTGGTTAGGAAGAGATAGGCATGTATCATTTCATGCTGTTTGAATTAGTGGAACATTACAAAAATATAATGAAACAGATGTGGAAGTATTTTAATTAAAAATTTAACTTTATTCAAACCACAATAATAAAAAGCAATAAAATTTTTAAAAAGTTGATGACACAAACTACTACTTTATAAAAACCTAAGAATACGGCTGCCTTATCTAATGACAATACAGTTTGAACCAACGTTCAATTTGAGGATGTCATATGTTATTATTATATAATTTTAATAATTCACACCTCCTTATTTTCATTTCATTTAGGATTAAATTTTCTCTCAGAGTTGTTAAAATGATTGATTGAGAATCACAAAAATTCTGAATGATTGCAAATATACAAATAAAAGATTCTATGAAAAAGTAAAATAAACCAAGAGGCATCCTGATTCACAATGAATTAAACAAATTTATTTTTTTTTTATTAAATGTCTATCAAAAAGTCAGCAAACCAGAAGAGTCTCTACCAAATCCTTCCTTGGTCTTAACTTCAACAGTGGCTCACTCAGTTTAATGCAACAAGCACCACTTCGTTTGCCATGGTACTCGCAAACACCGGCACACCTAGAAGAACAAAGCAATAAATTAAGAGAAATTGTTAGTAACAAGTCTTGCTACATTACTACAATAATTAATAATAATAATCAATTAAAAAATCTCTATAAAACTTGATTAAAAATTGAAAAGTGCATACAGTGTCATGCGAGTACTCCAAATAACTTCAACACTTGCAAGCTTTCCCCAAAAAAATTTTTTGTCAAACTCCACAAAAAGGCTGAAGACATCGGGATTGGGATCGACCAGTTCCCAAGAAACGTCAGCCAAGTTGCTGCTTTTATTCTTGTTCTCGGATTGACCACAAAAAACTACTTCGTTTGCATCATTTTCTATTTCTTGGAGCTGTAGAGCTAAATTGAAATCATCAATTTCATTTTTGCGGGAGAACATACTCGGTGAAGAAATTCTTGAATTGTGGGTTCCCGAAGCTGTCCCTGCATTGTTTTTTAAGGAATCCCGTTGATATTCAGAATCAAACTGTTGCTGTAATCTCAAAGCCACTGCGTAATCATCTTCTTCCATTCTCTAAAATTTTTATTTAAATATTTTACTGCTGACGTTTTGTATATGGCCGAACGGACATCTTGAAATGAAAATCAGCAATGAAAAATTCGCAATGAAAGAAATTGGCGCAATATAAAAATACTAAAAGACCATAGAGATTGAAAAAAGGTAAAGTGTAGAAGGTGATTTGTGATATTTCTCAAGCGTTAGGAGACATCGTAAACTATCTTCCCTCCCTAAAAATTGTAAATTATTTCAAAAATCTAGAAGATAATTTAATTGTTCGGATGTAAAACTCACATTAAAACAAATATCGAGAACCCCGATAGGAAGGAAAAGAAATAAGGATAAAAATAATTTACTGCCGATGTTGGCTTAGGAAAACAACGGTTATAAAAAAGAATTGTAGTGAGAATGCAATCGTAAATAAGCAATTTCTTCTTCTTTTCAGCGCCCTCTTCTTCCCTCTTAATCAATTTTTCACATTGTGCCAGCTCATTCTGCCTGATGTATGTGGGTTTTAAAGAGGCGATTATAGCAATTAGAGACAAGCTCTCACGTTCGATGTACAATAATTAAAAAAATATAAAACTAATTTGTCATAAAATATATAACGAGACAATTAAGAATTATTTAGTCGACTATAATTTTAGATTTTCCAAAAAATAATCTCTTTATTTTTAGGTGTGTCTTTCGTTTTATTAACATATTCGTTTAAAAGGATTAATTTGGTTTATAATGAAAAGACATGCGAGGTAGACACGTTTTGTTGAAAGAAGGCTGCAAGAACAATAACTTATGTAGTAATAACATCCGAACACGCAAACACATGCCCAGCCTGTAATGTTTAAAAATAATTTATAAACTGAATAAACAAACAAATAAATTACAAATAACACATATAAATGAAAAAACTACAGAATATAGTTGCAGCACACAGCAAACAATATAAAAAGAAGAAATGGAATGCAGATGGACAGTTTTTTTCTGCTACGGGAAAGACGACAGTCAAAATAACCCATCCATCAAGTTGACCGTTTTTACACATACCCAGCTACAATAACAATTAAAATGGATTAAAATATCTTTTCTCTCTTTCTATATTTTATGTTTTTGTTCATGGTTAAAAAAGGGTTCTTTTTATAGAATTATTTCGATTTCATTTAGCTTGCTATTACTTTGGCTAGACCGATTAGTGCACTCATTCAATTTTGAAATTCGTTTCGTGGATTAAATTTTGGTTTTTTTCTTTTAAAAAACAACGTACTTTGTGGAAAATTTTTTAATTTATTATCGTGCTAAAATGAACCTTCAACTAACTAAGCAAAGCAAATTTTTTCAATTCGAGCGAAATAATCTCAGCGGAGACAAGCGAAAGAGAGGAACATTAACAAACAAGCCGCAATCTCCCAACTCAAATTTATTAAACGACTTACGTTACGATACGTTTTCTTTGGCCCAGCAAAATCCTTAACGTTTTGGGCGCATTTTATGACAAAGTATATTTTGGCGAAGATGACAAACCAATTTCACGCCCTGCTTGGCGTGGCAAAAAATGTGAAATAACAACATAAAAAAGAAGAAGATAGGAGAAATAAAAAACGAAAAATATAAAATAATATACGTGTGGATGCATATACAAAGGAAGGAAAAATAAAACAAGTGGATATCGTTTCTTTGCTTGGTGGCAAGAAAGAATATTTCATTTTTATAGCGTAGCGTTACGTTTCGCGCCAACATTAAGAAGCATGCGTGAAAAACAATTGCGTTTAATAGTCCAAATCATATGAAACCAACGCTGGAATGAATAGATAAACTAAAAAGTGGTTGAACGATAAAATTTGAAATAAAATAAATGTGAAGATCAAATGTAACTAAACGAAACTAAAAAATTTAAAGACTATTATGCAAATGTTTGCAATGTTGTATTTGATTTATAATTAAATAATAATTAATAATCTATAATTAAATTCAACAGAAGAATGTATGAGTACGCTGTAATATTTGATTATCTGTTGAAAAATTATTCATTCACATTTATAAACCCACCCAAATATTTTAGCCTATCTATAATTAACAAACCAGGACAAAAAGGAAAACCACCAAGCGTTATACATCAACAGTGTCATAAACTGGCAACTTCAACATTGAAAGCAGCAATAACAATGCCGCAACTCATCAACAACAACTCGACGGAGCAACCAGGCAGACACACGACGAACGTTACGACAGCCACACGAGGCACGTTACGATAGCCACACGAGGTACGTCACGACAGCCACAGAGACATCAGCCTCAAGGTGCCGCAACACCTCATGCAAATTATTCCAACGTCTCCATCAAGCGTTAAATTAGCGGCAGGCTCGCAGTTATCTACCTCGTATAATAAAAACACCGTTTCTCGCGCGCAAATATGAAAAATGCGCATTCGATTGCGCGCCAAATGAACGAGCTCTATAGGCGTAATGTGGTTTCAATAACTCGCTCCATTAGGCCGGATTAATACGCGATTAAAATTACGATAACAGGTTGCGCATGCGTTATGTTTTCTTGCTCTCTTCAATGTTCGCCAGTTCGTAGCTTACCAAAATGTATTCAAGCTGTTACAATACAAAAGTTTATTCGAGTTGTTACAATACAAAAGTGTATTCAAGTTTTTACACTACAAAAATGTACTAAAGTTGTTACAATACACAAATGTATTCAAGTTGTTACAACACAAAAATGTAGGCATGTTGTTACATTGGTTCAATGGATGTTACTAGTCAAAATGAAAATGACAATATTCTAAGCAGTTTCATCAATGTTTTGGACAAACAAGTAAAATAATGAAGTAAAATAAAATAAGTAAAATATTATGGTTTGAATCTTTTGTACAGAAATTTTTTCTTAGATTTGAAAAATTGATAACCCAGAAAAATTCCTCATTTTTGTATTTCAAAAGATTTTTTGCCGTTATGAAAAGTAGAAGATAAAATGTGTGCTAGCTGACTTTGGGGAATGAGGCATTTGAGAGATGGCTCCAAGCATTTCCATCCACTGAAATGTGATAACACTTGTTTTGCCTCTTTTTCCAGTCGGAGAGAATAATGTTCTGGAAGAAATTTTTTATAGTAAACTTGGTGAATGATAGTTAAAATATCACACACCCCTAACTCCACAAACACTCAAGAGGTTTTCAGCAGTAGTAGCAGCAGCAACAACAAGAATATAGAACAATGAAGAAATAGTTAATGACCATAATGTGAATGGATGGAATCAAGCTTGAAAGTTATAAAATATATTCATGTGGTCATTCAAATTCTCTCATAATGGCCATCTCTTTAATTGCTTTATTAGATCATTTGGCCGATCGCAAATCATTTTTATTCAGTAGATGCTCGTTTCAATTTTTCCCGTTCAAACGATTTAAAATATGATATATTATTATTATTATTTTTATTATTGTCTTTTTCTTCTTATTACTATTATGATTTTTTTTACAAATATTTATAAACTTCGTAATAATTTTCTGTTCATTAATTCGTTTATTTTTAATTCAGACGTTAAATCTATGTTCATTCATATGTTCATCTATTTATTCCTTCCTTCTTTCATTCATTCGTTCGTTCGTGCGTTCTTTCGTTTATTCATTCATGCGTTATTTCGTTTGTTGCTTCATTCTTTCATCACTCGTTCATTCATTTATTGGCAAGTTCTTTCTTTCGTTCATTAATTCATTTGTAAGTTCTTTCTTTCGTTCATTAATTCGTTCTTTCGATCATGAAATTTTTCCACTTTCCTCCACCGCCCATTCATTACTTTGCTCATTTGTTCGCTCCATCCTTTCTTTATTCTTCTCCTCATGCATTTTTTCAACACTCCATTATTCAATTATTTATTTATTTATTCATCAATTCATCCCGTTTTTTATTAGTTCGTTCTTTCAATCATGCATCAATCTGTTCTTGTCAGCTGATATCATGATAGATATTTGACTTGTTGTCATGACATGTTAGAAGAATGTCAGATCTGATTTACATAGAAGTTTTTACGAATTCACATTTGAACAAACATACAAATACTCATAAACTTGAATGAAAAACAAATCAAAACATTATTTGCATCATTGGAAGTATTATCAAAGACAATCAATCATTCATTTATTTATTTGAATGTTTAATGTCAAACGTCTGTAAAATAATCAGTAGTAAACATTAAAACAACGCAGAATGAAAGCAAAACATCTCGACTACACTCCAGAATGCAAGAATGAAAGCAAAACATCTCGACTACACTCCAGATTGCAACACATCATACGTGGAATAATAGGGAAGGAGCCAGCGTACCAACGCACGACTTGCTTCACAACGTTGTTTCTATTCTACAGACTGCGCCGGGCAAATTAATTTAATTGACACCTCGCTTCCTTATTTTGTTATTTTCTTTCATATTTCTTCTCTTTGTTTCTCTTTTGTTGTTTTCATCATGGTTATTTCTTGTTTTCAGACTTCTTTGTCTTTGCAACTCTTTCTTATGTGTTTTTTGTTTCACATAATTTGTTTGTTCACGCTTCGTTTTCACGTCAAATTAATTATCTATTTCTTATTAGATCTGTCTCAAATCAATAAATTTTGAAATTTTAAATTGTCTCATGTTTGTTATTTTGCTTAAAAAGAGAAGCAGACTACAAAAATATTTTTAAAACGAAAGGACACATCAATGAATTACAACTAGAACCGCAAAAACACGCAATTCAAATATTTTTAACAAAACACAACGACAATACAATACCAACAATACAAATAAAACCGCACAAATACTAATACAACAACACAAATACAACGACAAAGATGCAACATTACAAAAACGACAACAAAAATGTTGTCAAGAAAAAAGGCACAAAC